TTGGTACAGGCATCCAACAGACAGTTGTGGAGAGTGTCTCACCCCCGAGGCCCAGCGAGTCATGGCTGCCTATGCAACAGCGATCTATCCATCACTGAGGCATAGCTAGCTTCTCGCCATGGGCAGGGTTCATTTGTGTACTAGTGAGCTTAGCTATTGGTTTTTATTGCGATCCAGTCACGTCGTCATGGTTGCCGCCTGATGAGAAAGCGTGAGTCTGACACGACCATCCACGCAGGACGTCGTCAGAGATACTCCTTCGCTCCCAGTCCCCGTCCAGTGGGCAGGCTCTGGAACAACCAATACTCCTATTGTCAAGGGCATCACAACATCCCTGTACCACATAAACCGTTCCGCCCTGACACCAACCTCGAACCAACAGAGCACCTCCAACCGCCGTCATGGATACCAGTCAAAAGCAGTTCCATCTACTCTGTCCAAGCCAATCCCATCGAAAACCGTTCAGAGAGGAGTACATCTGTTAGTCACCTTCAACATCGATACCATCACCGAGACAACGTACACACAAGCGCACATACATATAGTCTCTCTCTCTTTCTCTCTCTCTCAAAGCATACAGTTTCGATTCGTCCCGAGTAGGGACAGCCTCCGATCCTCCACACAGTCCGGCCGACTTATCCACCACAAACCCGATTTGCGTGTATAGATACAGAATGACGTAAACAAAAAAAGTGTTTCTTTTTGTCATGTGACTTTTTCTTAAATCTCTCCACAACAGTGCGAAATAGAGGCCTAGGTCTAACAGACGCCTCATCATTCCCATTTTGAATAGTCTTCGTTAGTTTGATTTGCACCTTGGCTGGCAAATAGATTCCAGTTTGTCGCCTCTGGCCAACGATATTTCAACTACATTCGCAAGAGAACATTTTTTGTGAAGAGATTTGATGATCGGTCTCACCAGAAGACGACAGAGGATTTCTCTTGACTATTCGTTGATCGGCTTTATTGGAATATTGTTGTTGACGCTGTCTCGAAGACACTCTCCTCGATTCCGGTACAAACATGCTAAGATTTCATCCGTCATAAGATGGACATGTCATCTCGACAGCTGGTCAAGAGGAATTTACCGTCATCTTTTGGTGAGATCGACCTACGAATATCTTCACCAAGCACTTTTGCTCAAAACAGAAGTAAGCTCAACAGTTATGATAGAAGAGATTCCTCGAAACCCAAGCTTTTTACGCATATGCTACATCAGCACAACTATCGGGACTCGAACCCAGCTAGTGTCGCGTATAGTCGCGTT